ATAGATAGATAGATAGATAGATAGATAGATAGATAGATAGATAGATAAATAAATAAAACAGAACAAAACTGAAAATCAGTGCCTAACATGGTGGCTCATGCCTTTAATTCCAGAATTCTGGAGGCAGAGGTAGGCAGATCTCTAGGAGTTCAAAATCATCCTTGTCTACATAGTGTCAAGCCAGTCACTCGTAGGCATATTCCCTAGGACCCCACAGGGATGTGCATGCACACACAAATGAATGTAACTTTAACAATTTTTTAAAAAAAAGAAAAATTATAGGAAAATCTATAAATAAACTGAGCAAACTAAGCCAGACTCAAAAAAAAAAAAAAAAAAAGACAACTCACAAATTTTCTCTCATATGTGGGAATCTAGATTAAAAATTACGTATGTGGAGAGGTCATAACGATAATAAGTCAGCGATGACAGGGACCAGAGCATAAGAGAGCATAGGGAGCAGGGAGACAGAAAAATAGAGGGTAATGCGGGGATTCTTGAGACCCAAATGGGAGAGGAGCTCTTTAAAAGAAAAAGGGCATAAGGAAGAGGGGGAGGGAGGGGGAAGGATAGGGGATGGCATTGAGTGACTGGCAGGAGTAAGGACACGGTGTGGTGACGGCATACACGTATGAAAATGTTATGATGAAACCCCTTACTTTGTTTGCTAACTTTTTAAAAACATGCCAACTGATTACATGTTGAAATACATATATATTTAAGATTAATTTCCTTACGCTTAACTTTTTGGATGTGGCTACTAGAAAGCTGGTTTGGAATCCAAGTCTGATTGTACTGCAGTTGCTCTGGGCTGTGCTGCCTTGCCAAGAAAGCTGTGAACCACCCACCGTTCCAGCCCTCTGGAGTCGGCATAGTCCACTGGGCATCTGCAGTCTCTCTAGCGTCCAGCAGAGGGCGCTCCAGGAGCAGCCCAGCCTGAGTGAGACGCGCTGGATGCTCAAGGCCCTAGGTAGCTCATTCTCAGGACAGAGTCACCCTTCCTGGTGCCCCTGAGTCGTTCCTTGCACAACTGAGACAGGAAGCTGGAACTCAACCACCTGGGGCCCGCTTAACCTCCATCCACCCTACCCAGGGGCAGGCGAGACACCTTCCTCCCAGTACTCCTTCCCTGGCAGAGCCCAGAGACACTTTGAGTAGCTGGCAGCCCAGCAGCATTAGGGCCTCAGGATAAGCCTCATGTGGGGCTCTAGCAAGGGATCACTAACTGATATTCAGACACACTGAGGCCTCATAGGGCTGACTATTAAGGCAACACACTCTGGGAGGCAGCTGAAGATGAGCCCAGGCTTGCCCTGGCTGGACTCTTCAACTGTGGTCCCCTCTGCCCTCATTTCCTCTGTCATGGATGCTGGGCTGGACCAAAATTTATGTTAAGGATGGGAATTTTGTCCTCAGAGAGGAAATGATTGTCCTTGAGCTGTTTGGTGCTGGAATAGAAGTAAAAAAAAAAAAAAAATCTAGATTGGCTGTTCCCAAAGCCGACTTTCTGCTCCCGGTGGTGGTGGTGGGGGGTGTCCCCAGGCCTTCCCTGTATCCCCACAGAGTCCTGCTTTACCTTTCAGCCAGGCCACGCTTGGTGAGGCCAGAGATAATGATAGGGTCAAAGGGTTCCTCTGTGCCGGAGATGGTGATGCCCAGGGGTCCGCCATAGCGCTTCAGCTCCACCGTGTAGCTGACGGCGCCAGAGCTCTCCTGCTCATCTACAAGTGGATGGGCAGCCTAAGAGTAAGGCTCAGCAGGACGCATGGCTGGAGCCCACCCCTCCCCAGGCTCAGCATCCTTCAACAACCCCTCACACACCTGCTCAGCCTTCAGGGGACCTGGAGGCCACCTCAGGCTCTCAGCCTGCTGCCCAGATGCCATGAAGGGAAGGAAAACAAAAACAAAAGCAAAAACTACAGGAGCATGGAAAACGAGATTTGAAAACAGATTTCATATGCCACCCACAGCAACTCAGCAAAGAGAGATGAAAGAAGGGAGGGAAGGATAAGGATGAAGGGAGGGAGGAAGAAAGAGAGGAAGGGAAGGAAGGAAGAAAGGAAAAAAGAAAGAAAGAAGGAGAGAGGGAGGGAAAGAAGAATGAAGGGAGGGAGAGAGGGAGGAAGGAAGGAAAGAAGAAAGGGTGAAGGCAAAAAGAAGAAAGAGAAGGGAAGGAGGAAGAAATGAAAGAAGGGGCTGGAGAGATGCATCAGGAGTTAAGAGCACTCGCTGTTCTTCCAGTTCCAGTATTCACATGTCTGCTCACAACCACCTGTAACTCCAGTTTACCGTCTTCTGGTCTCCCTGGGCACCAGGCATGCACAAGATGCGCTGACATACATACACGCAGACAAAACACCCATACACATAAAAACAAAGTAAACAAAAACATTTTTTTTTAAAAAAAGCAGGAAAGGAAAAAGGACAGGAGACGAAGGGAACGGGGTGGGGAGAATGAAAATGAAACAGGCCACCAGTGGCTTCTTCTCAAGGGTGAGAGCCCCAAACTGCCTCCCTCACTATGGCATTCACACTTCATTTACCGTATTCCTCACCACTCCTTTCTGCCTCTTTCCTCTTTATTTCCCCGGCTCACCAGTTCAGGCTTGCTTCTGTTGTTTCAGGGCCAACCCTGCAGCCCACAAGAGCAGTACCCACTAGCTGCTCAGACATCAGCCCTGCACATCAAACCTCCCAACATCTCACACTCTGGGAACCTCACAGTGGCTCCTGAGGGCCCTCTGAGCAGGGGGATGTGGGAAGCAGGGATCTCACACGTGTCCTTCCAGTCTCCCCCAGGAGCTGGCTATCAGGCATGGTCTCTTAAGCACGTACCTGAGTTGTCCTCATCTTTCCGGATCTTCAGCTTGACCAGGTCCTCACACTGGCGCAGGATCTGCACAGCATCCTCCATGGGACAGTGGTCCAAGCGGATATTGTCAATGGCCAGCAGCTTGTCGCCTGGCTCAAGGGTGCCAGTCCTGCATGAGTGGAGTGGGGATGGGAGGAGCCTGGGGCGGATGGGCACTACCCTACCCCCACGGTCACACCCCTGCCCGTGTGGTACCCCACCTGTGTGCCACGCTGCCCTTCTTGATGTCAGAGATGATCAGGGGTTCCCCTCGCTTTCTGCTGGCCGCTGTGGGGCAGGGGAGACAGGCTGTGAATTTAATCTTAAAGGGCAGCTGCTTAAGTGGGGTCGGGAGAGGACACTGCTGACTCCTGGTCCCGTTACTTCCTGTCTGGGGGACTTCGAGTGAGCAAAGCAGCTCACCTCTATGTGGCTTAGTTTCCCTTCTAGAAAATGGGGCTGTACCCCATCACGGAGTTGGGTGACGAGGACTCACAGCTGATGGTGATGCCCAGCTCCACACCACGCCGCTTGGGTAACTTCACATGGAACGTCCCACTGCTTGGGATGACAGACTCTGTGAACCAACAGCCATGGGTGATGCGAGACTCCAGAAAATGCTCAGAGGTCCGCTTCTTCCACCCACTCTGGCTTCTCATGGGTTGGGAGGGAAGAAGCCTCAGAGAGCGACCATCCCAGCCCCACCCTGCTGCTTCTGCCTGGTGGAGGAGGGAGGTTGTGGCCCACGTATTGGCTCCAAATGTCTGAGTGCTATCTCTAGAACAGAGGCAGGGTGGAGGCCAGAGCTGGGGACTGCTGGCCAGTGTGGGGCCTATGGCAAAACCTGGCCCACTTGGATCAGACACTTCACAACCTATCTCTAATTCATACCACACTCCTGTCTTCCACTGTTTGGCAAATGGGGAAACAGAGGGCAGAGGGAGGCCCTCATACTATGTGTCCTGTCCACACAGTATGGAACGCCCAAGACCAGAGCCCTGACTTAAGCTGTCTGGAGTCTTTTAGCCCCACTTTATGTCCCCGTTGCATGCAATCCACTCTGAGTCCTCCCGACTCCTCCCTACGTGGGCCTGGGCGTGCACTGTGCATGGTCTCAGGGAGCACAGATCAGAGAAGGGCAGCACCCCAGAGTGTGTGCGTAGCTGGGTGGCTTCCTCACCTGCCACATCAAACTCGATCTCCAGAACGACTTTGCGGGCCAGCGCAGCGTCCCGCAGCAGCTGGTTGGCTTCCTCCATAGTCCCATCCTCGGTGGCAATGCCATTGATGGCTAGGACGCGATCCCCAACCTGCAGCAGACCACACCTAACCCCCAGAGCCCAGTGGAGAGAAGAAGCCGGTGACTAGAACCCCAGGTGCAGGGTAAGGTCGGGACCTACTCTCAGCTCCTGGTTTCTGTGACTCATCCCTGCCCCCAGCTAAGGGCTTGACTTTGCTGGGTCTCTGTCTTTCCACTGTGGTGGTTCCACGGTCCTTACTACACATACAGAGTCCTCTGACTACAGGCAGACAGGGTTTACATAGTATGTGACTCTGAGCTTCAGCTTCCTCAGCTGTAAAATGGGTGATGAGCCACTAGTGCTGGTGACAGGGCCAATATGCTGATTAAGTCGTGTATATTCGTGAAGCTGGGACCCATAGTTGTGACTCAGTTTCCCCACCGGACTAGCGCTCCTGAAATGGCAGGCCCACAGGAGCAGTAGGCTCACCTCTCAGCGGGGCTGTCCGGTTCAATGAAGCGCACCAAGGGTGGGGAGGACAGGGTTTCGGTGGCAAAGATGCCTCCCTGGAGCTGGAGGCCGAAGCCGCTGAGGGGGTCTCCACAGAGCACGACTTCTGTCGTCTCAGTATGAACAATCTGCCCGCCAGGCCCCACCGTGCTGGAGGCCAGTGACACTGTGGGACAGGAAGGTTTCATGGTCAGGTGAACCCTGGCGAGGCTCCAGGGTGCCCACCGAGAGGCCTTATGAGATCCGGGAGCCAGAGGGCAGGTGAGCGGCAGTTTCAGGACCACCTAGGTTGAGCCTGGGTTTCTTTGTCTGTACAGGGACATTATGGTGTCCACCGTGCATGGGCAGTGGCTAAGAGAGATAGCATTGGGAACCATGATTTGGTAAGACAAGGGGTTCTGGGTGTCTGTATTATTTTATATTACAGAACCCCCTTATCCATAGGGCATGTGTTCCCAGACCCCAGGAGATGCCTGAAACCACAGATAGTACAGAAGTCTACAGACACCCTAAACACACACCCTGTGATGAGGTTTTACCTGCATACAAGCTTCAGGAAGAGAGAGATTAACTACAGCTAATGGTAAAATATAATTATTATACCAGTATGTTCTCATAAAATTATCATAATCATCACTGTAGCACCTTTTGTTTAGTTTTGAAACAGGGTCTCACATAGCCCAGACTGGCCTTGATCTTTCTGTGCATCTGAGCACGACCTTGAACTTCTGACCTTCTTAGCTCCCATCTTGAATGCTGGGATTACAGGCACTACCACTTTGCTCATTTATTCAGTGCTGCGGGTAAAACTCAGGACTCCATACATGTTAGGAAAGCAATCTACTGTCCGAGCTACACCCCCCGGCCCCATGACTATTGCTTTTGGGGCATTATTCAGTAAAATACTGGTCACCTGAGCACTGGACACCAACCAGTCTGACCAACAGAGAGGATAGTGAGTGACTGGGAAGCACGCTGCCCACATCCCAGAAAGGACCAAGTGGGGCAGATATAAGCCTTTCCTTGTGCTTCTCAAAACAATTTAAACCACATAGCCTACTTCCAGATTTGTCTACTAATATTTTCAGATTGTAGTTGAATGTGGGTAACTACAACTTGGAGAGTAAAACTGGATTGGGGCAGTTCTATATCTTGTGGTATTTTACATTCCTCTTCTGCTTTGGCGATAGCTTTATTTTTTAAGATTTATTTTATTGCTTTTAATTATGTGCATGTGTATATGTCTGTGTGCGGGTGTGTGTATGTGAGTACAGGTGTCTGCGGAGGCCAGAAGAGGGCGTAAGCTCTCCCTGAAGCAGAGTTACAGGTGATTGTGAACAGCCTGTCATGGGTGCTGGGAAATGAACTTGGGTCCTTTGCAAGAGCAGTAAATGCTCTTTACAGCTGAATCATCTCTCCAGCTCCTGGTAACAGCTTTATTTAATATTCAGTCCCCACACAATAGTGGTTACCCATTCAGTGTATAATTTGATGGCTTAAAGCATTGTCATCCCCTCCCAAAGGAACCCCTAGCTGGGCCTGGTGGTGAATGGCAGAAATCCCAGCGCTAGGGAGGTTAAGGCAGGAAGACTTAGTTCTAGGCTAGACTGGGCCACCTAAGGTCTCAAAACCAAAAAAAGAACAAAGGAATCGCTGTCTCCTCACCCACTGTCCCAGAACCTGCATTTTGCCACAGGCAATTTATGCTCAGCCTATTTCTGTCCCTGTGGGTTTCCCTGGACACATCACAGAAATGATCTTACGTGGCCCTTGGTGACAAGCAGCAGACACTGAACACAGTGGCTTCAGAGGCTCCTTCCTGTCACAGCCGCAGCACATCCAGGTGGCCAAGCTGAGCCTTGTTTGTTTAAGCCCCATCTCTCACTCAGGGTGGCACACTCCCCCGAGACTCACCCCTGTCCCCACCCTCAGCCACACTGGGGCCCCACAGAGGTGGCCCTCTGCTTACAAGAGCTCCTGTGTTCTTTCCTTCGCTGCCTCCTCCGCCCCGCTGTTGTCCTGGGGCTCATGGGTCCTCGGGGCAGGGTGCTGGCGTTGGCACAGGGAAAGGCGGGGTTCATGGTTGGTGAGGAGAAGGGAGTCGAGGACAAGGCTGGGGAGACCAGAGCACAGCCCTGTGAGCCCCAGCAGGCCCTAGTCACTTGCCCAGGGGCGAGGGGGGAGAATCACACAGCCACGTGGACACAGACAGGCATGCCTTCTCCCCTTCACCAAGGTCCCTTTCTGTGTGACCTCAGACAGGTCTCTCTCCCCATCTAAGCCTCACTGATGGGATTTCCAAAGACCTCTAGGGACAGGATGAGTGACAAAACACAGCCCTCTGCTCCATTATCAATTTCTACACTGACACTGCCCACCGGGAACGGCAGCATTGCTGCAGCCACAGGTACATTACATCGGCTCTGGTCCTGGCCTCCAGGTGCCCACGTGGGTGGCCTGCAGTGGCTTGGCCTTGGACTGTGGCAAGAGGGGGCACAGGGGTCCCAGCGGTGCAGCTGCTCGCTCCTCTGTACTCTCACTGTGGCAGTGGGGGGAGGAAAGCTGCGTGGGTGTCTGGGACCGTTCAGGCTGAACTAGTCCCCGCAAGCCAATGGTGAGATCCAAAATCTCTGCACTGCCCAAGCCAGCAAGGCACAGAACAGCGTGCTCACGTGCATTGCTACCCACCACGCGCCAAGCACTGTGCCCAGGCCCCAGCTGCAGCGACAGGAGGGAAGGCCAGGCCACGGGCCCTCAGGGCGCTGGCTCTGGACCAGTGCTGCCCAACAGAAGTTCCTCTGAAAAGACTGCAGGGGCACAGCAGGCCCTTTAAACTTCTGTAGCAGCACGGAACCCCAGGGGCACCAGCGATTGGCCACCCCCATTCCCTGCTCTGGCGTCACTGTCAGTTATGTAAAATGCAGAGTGGTTGCCTCCTAGGGTTGTAGAGAGGCTCAGAAAGAGTCCCTCAGGCTTCCAGCAGGGCCAAGCCTTTAGCAGAGGCTAAGCTAATGAGTCCCAGCATCCCACAGCCTCTGCAGCCTCAGTTTCCCTACCAAGTGTGGCTGGTAGTTAGCTTGCTGGCTTCAGACAGCCCTCTCCTACCTGCTTCATCCTGGAACTCTGGTGTCCTGAGACCTGCTGGGGTACCTACCTGCCTCTGGGGGCTTCAGGGGCCGACAACTCTGGGGTGCAGGCAAGATCTCCAGCCGTACTTTCTCAGTCACGCTGGCCAGGAGTTTGGTGGCCTCGACCAGGGAGCAGTGCTCTGTGCTGGTGCCATCGATGGCCAGGATGTGGTCTCCAGAATGCAGGGCACCACTCCTGCAAGACAGGGGCCCGGAGAGTCTGGTCCAGTGGACAGAGCTGCAGGTTGCCTCTGCCCTGCATACCGCTGCTTCACCTCACCTGTCCACCACACTGGCTGGCTTGATACGGTCAATGGTGATAACCGGCTTGTTCCGGTGGGAGCCAGTGGTGAGAGAGATCCCCAGGGCAGATCCTGGGGTCTTGACTATTTCTACCACCAATGGGCCTGAAGCATTGACCACGGTGTCTGGAATAATGAGGAGGGAAAAGCAAAAGAATCGTGGAAAGTAAACGTGCTTGCTGTAAGCATGCTGCCTGGACTAGCTCTTACTGCTGAGAAAGTGGAAGGCATAGAACGGAAGAGATGCATACAGTCACCAGCAAATCAGGCCAGGCCTCCATCCTACGTCAGAAACACCCCTTACCTGCACCCCAAGCTTCCTGGCCTCACATCAGCTCTCCCTGAGACAGCTGGCCACTTCCTGTAGTCCTCCTGGCTTCTTTCTTCACCCCTTCTGTCCTGGCTCCTTCCCACTCAGTTATCTGCTGCAGCCAGGCTGGCCCCTCCCTCTCGGGCCAAATGCTGCTGTCCAGAGGCCTTTGCACTTACAGTTCATCCTGCCTAGAGCTTCCTCAAAGATTCACTCCCTCATTTCATGGCCTAGTTAGAGTCTATGCCCCAGTCTATACACACACACACACACACACACACACACACACACACACACACACACA